CGGGCGTCGTCGTGCCTCCCTCTATACGTCAGAGTGGGACTACGCCGCGCCGGGTAAGGGGCGCGCCCGGTCCTCGACGGAGCCGCGCGCCCCAAACGACCCAGGCGGCGAGTAGTCGTCCTCGAACCTTCGACATGTAGTTGTCCATAGTTAGCGCCCGTCCGCCCCCCCCTCCGTCGCCGCGCAAAAGAAAAAGAGGAAGAAAAAACAAAAAAAGAAAAAACGAACGCAAATCCATTGCGTAAACGGCGTCACAAAGCCCGCCGGTTTTGATTGACAATCGTGAGATTGACCGCCGTCAACCAGAGAACGACGGCAGCATGCAGACGATGTGCCAGCTTGCACGGCGCTCGCGCCGCGCCGGCTGGCTCATCGAGCGCGCTCTCTGGCGCCGTCCGGGCCACGCGCGGCGCCGCGCGTGCCGCGCGCCACTCGCCGCGGCCGGCACCACAGCGCCAGAGCCGCCTCACAAACACCGCGCACAGCCCCAGGAGGCTGCTCACCAGGCAGCGGAGTGCTGCACCGGCCCGCAGCAGACGCTGCGGCGCTGCGGCGTCGCCTCCCCGCCCTGTCCACGGAGCAGACGCACGGCGGCACGGCCTTCCACCAGCTGCAGGAGGTGCGCACCTCCCAGTGGAAGCACAGGGTGCTCCCTCAGCATACGCAGCTTTGCGCAGCGCAGCGTACGGGCCACGCCACGCAAAGCCGACCCTCAGTCTGCCCGAGAGGCTGTCTGAGGAAGGCCTGGCAAGCGCGTACTCGCCTCCTCCGCGGCCATGCCCTCCGCCCGGGCGAGCGAGCAACGCGAGAGGACACAACCCATGCGGGAATCGTGTGTCCCCCCCGCTAACAATTTTTTTTCTCTGTCCCACCGGCGGCCCGGCGCGCCAGTGCAGGAACCCCGTCGCAGCCACCGTTCTACTTGGCCGCCATCGGCCGCCGGGCATCGCGCGCCGCCAGGATGGGGCGCTTTGGCGTGCCGGCCGCACATAATAAGGTGGGTCACACCTTGTTGTTGCTTCACGCTTCACGCCACCCGCGGCGCTGCACAGCTGGCCCTGCCGCTCGCCTCGCCCGCGCGTGCGGCGACCTGCAGCGCGCTAAGCGCCTGCGCGCTCGGGCCACCGCAGCAACATCCTGCCCACCCGTTGCTTCACCAACACAGCCGCGCAAAACCGTCTGCATTGCTCACCACCGCCATCGCTCGCCGCTCCCACGCCCCGCCTCCAGATACTGGTGATGACGCTGATCAATGTGTCCAACCTTTTCTGCCACTCGCTCTTTTCAATCCTGCCCGCCTTCTTCCCTCAAGAGGCCCGCGCCACGCCCAAAGCCACCGAGCCGCCCCTCTCCAGGCATCCCTTGCCACGTCCTGCTGATGATGTGCCCACGCGCAGCGGTCGGGTAGAGGCGCTCCGTATATCCTCCGTACACCTCCCCTCTCCCCGTCTCCTCTCCGCAGGCAAAGTCCAAAGGCATGAGCGACGACGCGGTGGACTCTAACAAGCCCTCCAACGCCCAGCCCGCCACTGCCCTTTCCGCCACCGCACACGCGCCCACCACACCCACAACAACCGTCGCCACCCTAACCGCCCCACCTCGCTTCGCGGCCGCAACTCATGCTGCGAGCCAGCCCGTCGCAATCACTGCACCGCTCAGAGTTTTGAAAGTGGACTTGACCGCAGGTCGGCATCGTGTTCGCGTGCTTCCCGGCCGTCATCTTCCTCACGTCGCCCTTCGCGGGCCCCTTCATGTCGCGGCACGGCAAGAAGTGGGTCTACACCACCGGCCTCGTCGTCGTCGCCATCTCGACCATCTGCTTCTCTGTCGCCTCGTACATGCCCGCCGGATCGCCGTTTGCCACCTGGTGCCCCCCCCCAAACACACACACACACGCGACCCTCTCTGAGGCGCGTCGCGCCGGCCGGTCGGGCTGGGCGGAGAGGAGGGGCCGGCCGCGTCTCTCCACACGTCGAGTGCAACCACACCAAGTGGTTGCTGTCCATTATTGTATTATGATACACCGATCCCGATAGGCGCCACCCCCTGCGTGGTCTTATCGTATTGTGTTCTATTCCATCGAGTGCATCCACTAGGTGCTTGCTGATCCGGCTGACGCAGGGACTCGGCTCAGCGATGGAGGAGACCGCAGCGTACGCCCTGATCGCCGACATGGACACCGACAACGTCTCCACTCGCGCAGCTTTCGCCGAGTTTGCTCAGAGGACGTCCCTGCGAAATCCCGGATCATTCCACTCCCAGGTGTCTTTTTTCATGGGTCTCACGGAGATCTCGACCGGGCTCGGCTACATGGTGGGCCCCCCGCTCGGCGGGATGCTCTTCGCGGCGGGCGGCTTCGCGACGCCCTTTGTGGTGCTCGGCTTGGCGCTGCTGCCGGCGGCTCCGCCCCTTGCTCCGACCCTCGGCCCGGTATTTCCTGATTTTTGCCCGAGCTTGGTGTGTAGGCGGCGGCGCTCATCTACTATCGGCTGCCCCCGGATGACCGAAGGCGATCGAGCGACGACGCGGGCGGCGTCTCGATGAAGGCGCCGAGGCGATGCGCGCCGAGATGGAGCCGGGAGAAAGCGCCGCAATCAGCGCGCGCGTTGCTGCTGCGCATCGCCCGGGCCGCTCTCCAT